GAGGCAATAGCATGAATTCTCAATATGGTTAGGTTGCACCTGTCGTTGTTAAACCTTAGCTTGCATGTGATAACAATTAAAGGCTATGACATGTTTACAGTTCTAGTTTCATCTATAGAAACTCTTTGACATGAGATTTGGGCATATGATATTTAAGTTTATAGCCCTCATTTTTCTATATTTATTTGCCCAGAAGGTAGATTAAGGACTTTATTTCTATGAGTCACCCTTTAGGATGAACCTTGACGATAAATTCTTGACCAAAAATGGTCCTCCTATCCCATCAATCCCTGAAGGATTGCTATGACGTTACTATGAGTCAAGTTCTTTTTACCCAAGTCTAACTCAATGCATATCACAAATCAATCCCTCAAGGATTGCTATACCCCCTTTTTTTCACCTAGTACGTGGTTTCAGAAGTAACATTTCCCTATTTGCGTTATTATTTATAGTGCGCAGTCTATTTCAATATATCACTACCACAGCGTACCTCTAAAAAGGCTACCAAAGAAGCTTCCGTCTCTTGATTAATTAATGCTAAGAGCACATGATAGGAGACCAATATACATATCCTTAGGTATGCTGACTGCATACTTAATTAATGAAGATTTTTTCTCGGCATTAGGGGGAGATAAGAGTTCAAATTTAATCGAATGCCAAGAAATTTCATAGAATGAAAATATCTTCATTATTTAAATCCATGTACTAGTTAGACTGAACTGGAAGTTCAGAAGATATATATTTGCGATATTAGCAAATAATCTGCCAAATATATCTATTGATCATACTGATCATAAAAGAGTGGCTAGGTCCCATATATATTCCCCAATTTGGGCCAAATATATCTACCGATACTCCTTGACGCCAGAAGTGTAGGAGATCTATCGGTGAAGAGATACGAATCATAATACTAAATCTAGTAAAGAAACATTGTCACTCTTGAAATAGCATTGAACAATTTAGTCCTGAAGACGCTCGTCCAGATGACGAGAAACCCTAGTCAATTTATAGGTGCACCAAACAAACACAATACTAGGGATGCGGAATGACCAGATCAAAATATCTTTGGGAAATGTCTAGAATCTGGTTGTTTTAGAAATTGCCATTACTTTTACAAATATGGGAGTTTTACAAAAATGTTATAGTTGTCGACAACACAATTGCCATTACAAATTGCTCGTTATATGATAATCTGGATCCAGAGTTAGGCACCGGAAGTGCCATAACTATTTAACGTATAAAGGAGCAATTAAGGCATAGCTCGACTCGCTAAAATGAATAAATTCTCTTTATAACAATACACCATTTGAGCGTTAATCCTGAAGGTTACAAAATGGTGTGTGCATGAAAGAGAAATAAGAATAATGAGGTGATGAAGCGAGTTTGTAGCCTACGGGTTCACGCAGAGACCCTGAATTGATTTTAATAAAATATACTCTCCCACGGTAAATGGCATTAAGTTCCGCTACATAACACAATTGACATAATAATAAATTTAGATATGCAGTTAAATTTATTTTGAGAAATCCTGGATGGATTCATAATTCTCGAAGTGAGGATTTATTTAAGCATTATTATGTGTGATTATTTACTCTTTAAAGGGTTGCGAATGGAGTTAATATCCTCATTGAAGGAATAATATGTACCATTGTGTGCTCGATAAAGGGTTGATAATGAACTTATTTATTATTTATTATCTCAGTCAAGATTGATGGTGTAAACATCAATGAAATATATAAAGAGCTTGATAATGTCAGTTCATGTTTAAATACTGAGACTTTTGAAATAAAAAGCTTGTGAAAGCTATAAGTATTATCTCGAATTGAAGATCGAGTTTTTCTTTGAAGTTTTTTTTTTTTTTTTTTTTTTTTTTTTTTTTTTTTTTATATATATATATATATATACCAGTCAGCCTATATCTAAAAATGCTTTTTTCACATGTCTATATGCATATAAGTGTCATGTTTTTATCAAATTAAAGGTTGCCTAATAATCTCTTGAAGCAGATAAGGAGCCTTTTTGGACTCGAAGTCCCTTACTTCATTATCGTTGGAGCACCATTATAGAACCAGAAGTTCCATAATCGCAACATATTTGCGATGAAATTGCTAGCAAAATCTAGTGCTCCCCCTACAAATGAAGTACTTGAATAATGATTAACATATCCTCCGGTATCTTCGAGATACAAAGACATGACATTTATGTAAGAAACCATGATACAGTTTTAATAGGCTACTTGGGTACTGGCTGTTTTTGTTTGATCCCCGCAATGCCAAGTCCAAACTGGTTATACAATGAATTTCCCTAAATGTTCAAAATGAGGACAATAACACTTGTGTTGCACAAATGTTATGTGAGCTCTAGAAGAGCCATAAGATTATTAGATATTTACTCTAGTGACAATCCAGAAGATTTGTCCAATTCATTTTCTCAAATTTTTGAAATGTATGTAGAACTTGAAGATTGTTATCTTCAGGGGGAGACGGGAAGTACATTTACTCGAATCAATCCGGAAGATTGGACGTAAAATCCTGAAGATTAAGTCATAAAAGACTAACAGTTGCGCACTATTTGCAACACGTAAATACAAAAATATCATGTACTCTTTTCCTCACTAGTTTTCTCCCATTGGGTTTTTCTAGTGTGGTTTTTAACGAGGCATGAGTATGATATAATAATGTAAATGGGAAAATGTTGCAAAATAATTGCTTAAATAGACAAACCCCAAAATCCTGAAGATTATGCAGTTTGCGCCCTGAAGGCTTATGGTTGTACTCTTTTTCCCTTGACTAAGTTTTTCCCACAGGGTTTTCTTAAGTTAAGGGTTTTAATGAGGCAACCAATATAATATATGTTTTTACATATATCATGTACTCTTTTCTTCAACTAGGTTTTTCCCACGTGGTTTTCCTAGTGAAGTTTTTAATGAGGCGTGAATATATTTTTTATTGTAATCTTTTCTTGTCTAGGTTTTTCCCACAGGGTTTTCCTATCAAGTTTTTAACGAGGCAAGATCATTGTCAAATAATGTCCAAGGGGGAGTGTTGTAAATAGATTTATGGTGGACATTATTGATAGCTTTGTAACGTCTGTAACGGATGTAATTATTCTCTATTATTATATCTCTTTATTGTATCTTGTATATATAGATCATTGTACTATGATGAAGATAAGGAATAAGATGATCTGTCTTTCCCTCTCCATTCTCAGTATTCCTCTTCTTGTTGATCGCTGCTTTTTCTATGATTTCTTAACAATATTGTATTTATTTTTCTCCAATATAAACATTCTTTACATTCAAATTCATCAATTGATTATATTCGCTACATTGTCCCTACAATGTCTTTATTAAAAAAAAATTATTCATTATCAATAAATTAATTAAGAGAAATAATTTTATTAGTTATATTGTCTTTATATTTCTCTAATGTAAAAATTATTTATATTAAAAGTCATCAATTGATTATATTCACTACATTGTTTATTATCTTTTTTGTGCACTATTTTTTAATTAAATATCAAAGTTATAATACAAAATAATGCTATATATTTATTTACCGTATTTTATTAATACCATGAAAAAATTAAAAAATATAATTAATAAAGCCAATCATATTAACTACTTGAGGGATTTGTTGACAAAGAGAGTATTCAAATCACACAACAAATTGAAGTGAGAACTACCTTGCAATGTCTTTGTTTGACAATAGCAGTTAGCGGTTGGCATTAGCGGATTATATTAGCGAATTTGACTAGCGAATTATATCAGCGGTTGGTAAAAAGATATTTGAAAAAATTAGCGGTTTAGATTAACATTTAAAATGACCTAAGGGTATACATATAATTAATAATAATAATAATAATAATAATAATAATAATAATAATTGTTTTAAAAAATAAAAAAATAAAAAAAATAAAAAAATAAAATTAAGCCAATCATGTTAACTACTTGGGGATTTATTGACAAAATCAGTATTCAAATCACACAACAAATTAAAGTGGAAACTATCTCGCAATGTGCTTGTTTGGCAATCAGCAGTTAGCTCTTCAATATTAGTATATATTTAATATCTTATGCCCTAATTTTTATTTGCTCTCCCTTATGTCTCGTATTTGGTTTCAACCATACCTATACAATTATTTTATTGACAATTATAATCAATCTTGACTATATTATTTTGCATTTGTAAACTTAGAATTACCTATTTAAATACACAAATTTAACATTCAATTATCTATGCATGAACAATTTCAATATAATCTTGCCTTGATATACTTTAAAGTACTTATTTTTTTTAAAAAAATATTGGGCATTATCTCAATCGCGCAATGCGCGTAAAATACTATTAGTTTATAGTATTTTCGACATATATTAATAATTTACCATATATAAAGCATCTATTATTATTATTATTATTATTATTTAATATCTCTAAAAAAAGATTAATTTTAAATATACAAACAAAAATCTTTTCCTAGTATTGGCAGGAATAGAATTATGTTTTTATGTATACAAATTAATTATTAATTATTACCAAACTTTCTTTATAAATTCAGTCCTAAGAAAGAACAAGATTTCGTCCAGCACATTCAACCTCAATTTGGCATAGCTTATTTTAGGTTATGTTTGGTAATGTTTCCAAAATAAGCTAGTAAATTAAAATAAAAGTTTATTTTGAAAAATTATTAAAGTCTTTCAAAAATGAGTCCTTTAATTTGTATTGGTGGGACAGTAAAACGGCAGAAAACAGAAGGCATTGATTTCATAAGCAGCTTGCCGGATTCAATAATTCATCAAATCTTGGCGAGGCTTCCGGTTAAAGATGTCCACCGCGCATCCGCCTTGTCCAAAGACTGGCACCGCTGCGTCTCCGATTACCCTTTCCCCGAGTTGAGAATCCTAGTTTCCAATGAAAATCAGGTATCTCCCAGCAACATACAAGGCTTCTACGCGGGAGCGGAGCGCCGCGTACGCGCCTTTTACCAAGATATACCGTCGTCTCTGCGGAGAAGCAGGCTGCAAATCGACTTCCCAAATAAACAATCCCTTCTCTACTGCAACCGAGTTCTGGGTATTGTGGCCGATCAGGACAGAGTGAAAGAGCAGGATGTTTGTCTCGCCGGTTGTCCCTCGGCGCCGATCAATACTTACACCGGGTTCCAGAGAATCTTGGGCGCCGATTCTCTCGCCGCAAGCTCACTCTTCAGAGATTAGAGGTGAAGCTTCCCAATCTGCGGAAGATCGGTTTTGTGGATTGCGCGTTGTCCAGGAGAGATCGCGTGTTGCACAAGTTCCTGCTGGGATCGCCGGCCATCGAGCACCTCCGCATCCGCAACTGCGACCGGATCGAGAGAGCCGTCGGCGGCGTCTACAAGATTGTGATTCCGGCGGAGAATCTCAAGTATTTCGAATGCGTGGTTCGGAGATGCTACCCGCAGACGGTGACCATGGACATCCAGTCCCGGGTTCTCCAAGCTTTCCGTTTCAAGTACTCGCCGTCGCCGGTGCGTGGCAAACACCCGCCGCTTTTCAGGATGAACATCGACCTCACGCGCCACCAATCCCTTACACAGTTGAGGCTGACGAGGGTGACGTTTCTCCGGCGCTCAGATCGCCTCCCGATGGACTTAATCCCCGGAACCTTGGCCGCCGTTCAAGATTTGCGTCTGAAATTCTGCCGGTTTCAGCCACGGAACTCCGTCCCGGACCGCAACATTCTCACCCAGAGCCTTGCCAGATTGGTGTTGTCTGAAAACGTAGGATTCAACCTCGGCGTCAACATTGTTGCCCCAAGTTTAGTTTCGCTCAAATACCATAATTCTTCTTCGCACCCATCAAACCCTTTGTCTCACGTTATCGCCCCAAACCTCCAGGACATTCATATCAAAATCAAAGCACCCAATCGGCTTTCTCTCATAGCCTCCATTAATGATGAACTCAAGAAGCTTAGAATCTACCCCTATGTTAACATACAATGCTTCCCTCTTCCCCACAAAGAACAACAAGGGATAGTGATGCAACAAAAGCTATTTGAAGTGAACTGGAAATCTCATCTGGAATGTGAATCATTTGCAAGTAATGGTGTATGCATATCATCCCGGACTTGCTGATTTATTCTGCATGAATATCTGATCCCAATCATGTTGGCTCAAGTGAAAGAGGCTTGAATCTTTTAAGTACGATCATTTTTTTTATTTTTTGAAAGAATTGTCTCAAATGATTGAGAGAGTTGTTTAAATGGCTCAAGGATAAAATGCGTTTTTGAACATATATGTATATCACTCAAGTATAAAGTGAGTATTTAGTTTGACTACAAGGAATGTTAGGTCAAAATTTGTACTACAAGATTTGATTCATTAATTCTGAATATATAGTTTATTAATTCTCGATATAAGTTCAAATTATGCACATCATAACGCTGTTAACGGCAATCAAAAATGATTTTTTTTTTTTTTAAGTTGGACGGTGTTGTTTTTAATCAAAACGACACCGTTTTGCAACTGTGTTGCACGGCATAATTTGTCATGTGCTGCATAGCCAAATACATTTTTTTATGCCATATCTACTTCAATTCCCATATCACTAACACAGCCGGATGCTCATCATTTCCTAACGCACCAGACAATATATCTTGTCTTTCTGACTCAATGAATTCACCTTGAGAAAGCTTGCAACTCAAGAAAATCCTAATATATATAAACATTATTTTATAATAATTACCATTATATTTCGTTTAATATATTCAACATAACTATCGTAGTAAATTATAATATATTTACTTACAATTTTTTCAATGACCATTCTAGTCGCTTCAATGGGAATTGAAAATTTTCAAAGAAAACCAACGTCATTTATTTTATTTTTTTAAAAAACTAGTATTTGCACCCGTGCGATGCACGGAATGAATTTGTTGTATAATATTAAGAATATATGAATCGATATATAATTATTTAAATTATAACATCAAATATTATATAGTGCAATTAAAGATATGACTTTGATCGTTTATATATTTTGATGTTATCATTGCTTGAATTTGTGCAAATAATTGCTCAAATTAATAGATAATGTCTAATGTACGCATGAAGTGCTATAACTTTGAAGATTTTATTTATCATTGTTTAGTATTTTCATAAATTAGGCAAATGTGCTCGTTTTCTAACAACTCAGTTATAGAAATGAATTGATATCCTTATTTATTTGTATGGAAGATATATATATTTTTTTGTTTAGATATATAGCAATTTTTTCATTAAAAAAAAAACATAATATCACCGATTATATTTACACATTATTAAAACTTCTTTGTAGACGACATTGGTAGTGACAACACGTACAATCTTGTCCATCTTCGTCTAGAGCTAACACCTTCAATCTATCAGGACTGGTTACTCAAGTGAAAATATATAATGGTAGAATATCACTCAATTAGTGATCCTTTTATATTTTCAGTCAATTAGTAATATCAGATCCATTTTCAACCAATTATTATTTTTTATTTTATTTTCAATCAATTAGAATATCAAATGCAATGATCTTTTTACCTAATTTTCGTTCCATTTTTAATTGATGATGTAGATATTATTATTGAAATATTTTCGTTCCATTTTTAATTTACCTTTACTATTGTTTAAAATATACATTTACTATTGATAATGTAGGATATTATTATTGAAATATTTTCCTCCAATTTTTTCCGTTCCATTTTTAATTAAAATGCAATGATCTAACCATTTTTTTATTTTATTCAATTATGGATCATTTTTTATTTGCAATATTCATTTCCTTTTATATTTTCATTCAATTAGTAATATTAGATTCATTTTCAGTCAATTATTCTTTTTTCTTTTCAGTCAATTAGAATATAGATAAATATTTATTTTTACCTAATTTCCGTTCTATTTTCATTTGATGATGTAGAATATTATTATTGAAATATTTTCGTTCTATTTTTAATTTATCTTTACTATTTTTTAAAATATGCATTTACTATTTGATGAAGTAGAATATTATTATTGAAATATTTCCTTTCCATTTATAATTTTCCTTCACTTCACAAAAAAAAAAAAAAAAAACAAAAAAACAAAAAAAAAAAAATTGGACATCTCAATACTTGCCCACATTGATGGGCAAGCAATTATGTTAATGCTCATCCCCTTGTATAGAAGTTTGTAAGAGGAGCAATGCTCCTCTTATATAGATGAGCTCAAGAGCTCCTATTTCCAAACATTTTCAATGTGGGATTATTTACAAAGGGGAGCCAGTGGCTTCGTTTTGTCTTCTACTTATTTTTTTTTTTTTAATTTTAATTTTATTTTGTATATGATTTTGTTTGGATAATAATAATAATAATAATAATAATAATAATAATAATAATAATAATAATAAAAAAATAATAATAATAATAATAATAATAAAATAATAAAACAAAAAAATTATTATTATTGACAAATTCGTCATTTTAATATTTTATATTTAATCAAAACACCAAAAATATTATTAATAACTCAGTAATTTGCTCCAAACTACTAAAAACTAAAACAACACATACATTTGGGGTTAATCTTTCCCAAATCCCACTAATAAATAAATAATAAATAAATAAATAAGCTAAAATTAGAAGCCAAAACTAAGGCATCTTAAATAAAAGCCTTTTGACTTATCAATACTTGCCCACATTGATGGGTTCTTCTTCTTCTTCTTTTTAATTTTCATTTTATTTTGTATATAGTTTTGTTTGGATTATTATTATCATTATTATTAAAATAAGAAGCTATTAAGATAAGGTTTCTTAAATGAGAGCCTTTTGAATCGTTGGACTTCAGTAGGTTGAGAAAGTTTATATTAACATATACTACATGTAACAGGTCAATCGAATCGTTATGCTGTCGAACCAAGTCCATTTTATTTCTCTCATAGCCTCCATTAATGATGAACTCAAGAAGGTTAGAATCTATCCCTATGTTAACATACAATGCTTCCCTCTTCCCAACAAAGAACAGCAAGGGATAGTGAAGCAACAAAAGCTATTTGAAGTGAACTGGAAATCTCAGCTGGAATGTGAATCATTTGTAGGTAATGGTGTATGCATATCATCTCGGACTTGCTGATTTATTATATTCTCCATGATGAAGATCCCAATTAGAAGTCGTTGGCTCAAGTATAAAATGAATTTGAACATATCTGTATAAAGTGAGTATTTAATTTGACCACAAGGTATGTTAGATAAAAAATTAATGTACTTACAAGATCTGATTTTGTTGGAATATTTTTGAATTTTTTTTACTTATGTTATCATAAACAGTTAGGGTGTGTTTAGTTGGCATATGGGAATTAGAATCGAAATGAATATCAAATACTTAGTAATGGTAATGGATTTTACTGAAAGTATTTTGCATGTTTGGTGGTAGAGTTGAATGCATGAGAATGATTATCAATAATGTTGTTTGGTTATGTGTGATCCAATAATGGAATACAGATTTAAAAAAATACAACAACACAAAATCAAGACAATTTGGGTATGGATTTTTCAATTAAGGGGGTATTTGAAATCCATAATAGTGCTCTAAACAAAAAAAAGTTAAAAACAAAAATTTAAAAGGATCGGACTAATCAAAGGGGATGAGAATGAATAAGGGAATGAAAGGGGACGATACCCTTACTTTATTTGGGTATGAGTTTTTCAATTAAGGGGGTATTTGAAACCCATAATAGTATTCTAAAAACCTATCAACCAAACAATACCAATCACTTTAATACCCATTCTTCATTAGAGCTAAACCTATTAACCAAACACACCCTTAATCTAACTTTTGTCATCAAGGCACAGTCTCCCATTGACCATTCACTACTATTTGTTGGGTAATATGGTGGAAAATTCCAAAGATAATAACCCTACGAAAAGATTATTATTATATGGGAAAAAGCAGAAAACTGGGAAGGAAAAGTTGGATGATTCGGATAGTGGTTAGCATGAGTTGAACAAATCGTTCTTTTCCTTAAAACCTTATTTGCTACCTCTCACAAATGCTAGGAGCGTTGTAGCATAGGTTTCCCAAGATAAAACGTGCTACGATTCAGTGTTTGAGCACCCAAACAAAGAATCTGGCGAACAAAGCAAAGGGATGAACACGGCTGGCTAATGAAAGGAGTAGAAGCAGAGATTTTGGAGATGGAAATTCGGATTTCTTATGTTGTAAAAATGTTTCTGCTCTACCCTTTCTTATATAGGGTTGAGGGAGTTGGATAACCTTCAATATCGCATTTAAATTGGCATTAAAATCAATTTGTAACACCTGAAACAGTAGCCCCACTAAGTGAGATTAAATTCAGAATTCAAAAATTGGAATTAAAGCAATATTAATTCCGTAACGAATGAATTTAATCTTCAGGATTCGGCCTACAGGTGCCGGCACACACGAGCTTAGACTTGATTCAATAATAATAATAATAATAATAATAATAATAATAATAATAATAATAATAATAATAATAATAATTGTTATATATATATATATATATATATATATATATATATATATATATATATATATATATATATATATATATATATAATTAAGCCAATCATATTAACTACTTGGATGATTTATTCCCAAAAAGAGTATTCAAATCACACCACAAATTGAAGTAGGAAACTACCTCGCAATATCCTTGTTTGGCAATCAGCAGTTAGCTCTTCAATATTATGATATATTTAATATTTTATGCACTAATTTTTTTTTGCTCTCCCTTATGTCCCGTATTTGGTTTCAACCATACCTATAAAATTATTTTATTGACAATTATAATCTATCTTGACAATATTATCTTGCATTTGTAAACTTAGAATTACCTATTTAAATACGTAAATTCAACATTCATTTATCCATGCATGAACAATTCCAATATAATCTTGCATTTATATATACTTTAAAGTACTTATTTAAAAAAAAAAAACATTGAGCATTATCCCAATCGCGCAATGCGCGTAAAAAACTAGTAAATAAATAAATTTGTAACTGGCGGTTCAAACCGAAACTGGAATCAAAATAAATGCAAACCGGAAATCTGTTCGCATTTATAAATCAGAACACTATAATAATTTTGAAATTCAGTTCAATTAGAAGTAAAGAACCTGTTAACATTGTTAGTCCTAATTGTTTTAGAGGTTTCATTGTGGTAGAATTGAACCTGTAGTTAACATTGTTAATAATTAGATATATAATAATTAAGTAATAAATATATTTTGGAAAGTAGATATATTTTGTTAATTAGAAATAAAAGAGTTACCTAATAAAATGAAAGTCTTAGATATTTTGCAAAAAAGGGCTAGGTTAATGTTGTCTTTGTTTTTAAATGATGTGACATCTTCTCCTTCACTGTCGGTGTGTAGCATCTATGCATCGGTGCATCAAATATCAATCCTTTTTAAAATTTGAAACTAAAATATATTCTATGAAACTACTTGTCTTATCCATTCCTTTGTATGCTTGCGTGGAAAGAAATCAAAGAATATCGTACATGAATTTCATCACATAATATCTGCATTTTGTACTTCAAATTCGTTTGGCACACTACAATTGAATTACAATACAATTAAGAATCTTAAAAAAAACGTATAAGATATATATAGTTTTACAAGTATATGAAATACTTACCGAACATATACTCCATTTCGGTGGACGACTTGATTTCTTTCCACCCAACATACTTGTTGTCCTCAACACCTATAAATATAAAAGAAATAAAATATACTTAAATACTTGATGACATGACAATATTAAGAAAACCTTTTAATATATAAGTTTGCATATGTTTCCTTTATATCCTTAATGTCCTCACGTGGTTGGCATCCAATATAATCAAACCAATAAATTTCATATATAAATATATAGTTCACTACATATAAGGAATTTATTAGTTTTAAGTGAATATAGTATATAATAGAAGTATATTATATATAAGAACAAATTGCACTTTTGATCCTGTGACTATTAGGGTGTTGATAATTTGAGTACGGGACTTTCAAAACTCTCAATTTAGTCCTTTAACTATGCAATTGTTAGCAGATTTGGTCCTACCGGCCAAATCGCCGGTTAATTTTCACCGAAAAACGTAAATGGGTTCAAATTGTTTTTTGACGAGGGTAAAATGGTCATTTCACTCTCTTCTTCTTCCTTCCCCCCTTTCTTCTTCGCTCTTCTTCTTCATCCTTGTAGTTGTTGCGTTCTTCTTCTTCATTCTTGCAGCTACTACCACCGGAAAAAGAAAAAAGGGGAATATGGCTAAAAAGTAAAACAAATTCCAAACTGGTGCAAGGAAAGTATAACATCAATTCATCATACAATCTAAACAAGTCACCCTCTGCGGCGGTTGTACGATTGCTGTATTGGTTTTCTGGTCACCAAGAAAAAAACATTAAAATGAATGGGTATTAAAGAAAATAAAAATAAAACTAATAAAGTCATATTAATGGTCAACTGTCACGCCAGTAAAAGAGGAAGAGGAAACAACGCAGTGAATCATTCCATTGACGGTCATCCTCTGCGGCGGTGGAGTTGTGTTCGTCCACCAAAACTCCGTTGACGGCCAAGCAGTTGCTGATGAGCTCGGAGACGATGGGTTCAACGACGCTCGAAACGTTGAGCTCGACGGCGCTGGAGCGGCACATCTCGATGTTGGTCAGGGCGGTGCTCAGCCACGTCTGGGCGTCAACGTCGGCGCAGGAAATGGTGTTATCTTTAACGCCGTCAAGGTTCCGGTTGAGTTGCAGAACAGTGTTGGCGATGAGCTTATCGCAGTCCATCCAAACCCTCTTCTTTCTATTGTCACGACAGTTGCCGCCATGCTGCTCCGCTGGTGGAATTCCCCCCCACCCCCATTTCCCTTGCAATGACCGTTTTACCCTAAAAAAAAAAACAATTCGAACCAATTTACATTTTTCCCGTGAAAATTGGCCGGCAATTTGACCGACAGGACCAAATCTGCTAACAATTTCATAGTTAAAGGACTAAATTGCGAGCTTTAAAAGTTAAGTACTCAAATTACCAATACCCAAATAGTCACAGGACCAAAAGTGCAATTTGTTCTTATATATAAGTTATCTATCTATATTCTATATATATATAAAAGTAAAATCCTCCTAACAAATTTTCCCCCCAAAAGTTTTATAGTAAAACTTATTTGGTACGTAAATGTCAAATGGAAATTAAATAAATAAATAAATAAATAATAATAATAATAATAATAATAATAATAATAATAATAATAATAATGTTATTACCTTAAATAAATAAATTATTATACTTTCCCTTAAATAAATAAATTATTATACTTTCCTTTTGAATTAGTATTTTCTACCTATAAATACAAGAGCTTCTTCAATCAAAGAAGAGCTTTCTTTTTGTATGAATTTTTTACATTTTTCTAACTATATTCTCACGTACTTCAATATGTTTTTCAGTTTGGACATCATGAATAGCTTCATCAATGATATCTTCTTGAAGCTCGCCCAAGAGGTGACTCGCTTGGCCCACTACAACAAGAAGCCGATAATCACTTCCCGCGAGATCCAGACCGGCATGAGATTGGTTCTTCCTGGCAAATTGGTAAAGCACGTTGTCTCTCTAAAAACACTAAAGCAGTCACCATATTTACAAGCTCTTAGATGAAATCATTTAAATCTATGTTTCCTTTTTATATAATCTCAATTAGGGGTTAATAGATGTAAAGTAACTTGGATTTGAGTTTAATTTCATATTATTTTTCCAAAAGGTTTAATTTCATATTATAAGTATTTTTATCTACCTTCAACTATCAGTGAATCGATTATCATTCTAAAAAAAAAAAAATTGAATGTCTGTATCTACGTGCATTTAAGATGCAACATGTGTATGATTCATTAGGCTTTGAGGCAGGAGAACACATCTGGGTACATTGCATATTAGTGGATCTGTATCTCATTGCAAAAAAATATCCATACAATTAATTAATTAATATAATTACAATTATGATTATTCTAATTCAAAACAAAAAAAAAAACTAAAGAATTAATTGTAATAATGAAATTTGTTATTACTATTCTGTTACTAATTGACACAGAAATCAGACCAAAAGAAAAACGAAATTAATATTAAAAATGGACTCGAATTAAAAAAATGTGCTTAATAAGTAAATAACTAATTTGCTAGACAGAAAATTAGGGTAAAGGAAAAAGAAAATGATTATTAAACATTGTACCAAATTGTTTTTATGATTGAAAATGAATATTACAAATGTACCAGATTATTTTTATGGCCAGAAATAAGAATGAATTTTACACACGAGAATCTATTATTAATATTCTGTTATACTAATAGGCATGAGAATCATGTTAAATGAAAAAAAAGGATTTAATATTAAAAATTTATTGGAAATATAACATAATTTTCCCTACGAAAAAATTAGTAATCACCAAATGAAATATTAAGAAAAAATTATGAAGAAAAAAAGAAATGGAAACAAATATTAACTCTTTCTATGAATGAAAAAAGGAAATGAATATATCCATATTTCACTTAAAATATAATCAGTAATTATATTATTGTAATTATATTAATTATTTATGAAGAAAAAAGGAAATGAATATGAAAGGAAAAAAATAAAATTTAGACACGAAAATCTATTATTAATATTCTGTTACTAATAGACACGGGAATTAGACCAAATGAAAAAAAAGATTTAATATTAAAAATTTATTGAAAATATAACACCGCTTTCCCTACGAAAAAATTAGTAACCACTACGTGAAATATTAGAAAAAATTATGAGGGAAAAGGAAATGGAAATGAATATTAACTCTTTCTATGAGTGAAAAAGGAAATGAATATATTCATATTTCACTTAAAATATAATCAGTAATTATATGATTATAATTATTATAATTATATTAATTATTTATGAAGGAAAAATGAAATGAATATATTAATAGTTTACTGGAAATATAATCAGTAATTATATTTTTAGAATTATATTACTTTTTAATTATGTGGAAATGAATATTAATTCTTTTTATGAACGAGAAAGGAAATGAATATTTCACAAAGAAATCTGTTATTAATATCATGTTACTAATCGACACGGAAATCAGGCCAATTAATCGACAATTATTAAGAAAAATGAATAAAAATCAATATTAATTCTTTTTTATGAAGGAAAAAAAAAAAGAAATAAATATATTCAAAAGAAAATGAAATATGAAGAAAAATGAATGAATATGTTTATATTTCACTGAAAATATAACACTGCTTTTGGCACAGAAATCAGACCAAAAGAAAAAGGAAATTAATATTAAAATGGACTCGAATTTTAAAAAAAAAAACATATGTGCTTAATAAGTAAATAACTAATTTGCTAGACAGAAAATTAGGGTAAAGGAAAAAGAAAATGATTATTAAACATTGTACCGGATTGTTTTTATGATTGAAAATGAATATTACAAATGTACCAGATTGTTTTTATGGCCAGAAATAAGAATGAATTTTACACACGAGAATCTATTATTAATATTCTGTTATACTAATAGGCATGGGAATCATGTTAAATGAAAAAAAGGATTTAATATTAAAAATTTATTGGAAATATAACACAATTTTCCCTACGAAAAAATTAGTAACCACCAAATGAAATATTAAGAAAAAATTATGAAGAAAAAAGAAATGGAAACAAATACAATTTGATAAATATCATAAATTAATTAGTACAATATCATTTCTGTTTATAAATTATAATAATTAAAAAAAATCAAATATGTGAACCAATGATTTCAAAATGAAATTAATATACAATTACAAATAAATATAGCATGATTAGATTTACTTTAATTAGTTTTAATTTCCTTAATGAAATGACTTTTCTTTGTCAGTTTTTTTATGGGAGGCTAAGGGAGTGTTTGGATTGTTGAAAAATATTTTAAAATAAAAATACATACAAATAAAAAATAATTTAAAATATTTTTTAACCCTCATAACATGTGTAAATGTTATATATTTTTTAAAATACAATTTGGTAAATATCAAAATTTTGTTTATAATACTTAAAGAAAAAAATAAATAATTCAAAAATGTGAACCAATGATTTCAAAATGAAATTAATATACAATTGCAAATAAATATAGCATGATTAGATTTACTTTAATTAGTTTTAATTTCCCTAATGAAATGACTTTTCTTTATCAATTTTTTTTTTAATGGGAGCCAAGGGAGTGTTTGGATTGCTGGAAAATATTTAAAAATAAAAATACATACTAATAAAAAATAATTTAAAATATTTTTTGACCCCTCATAACATGTGTAAATGTTATATGTATATATTTTTAAATAAAATTTGATAAATATCATAATTTTTATTTATAATAGTTAAAGAAAAAAATAAATAATTCAAAAATGTGAACCAATGATTTCAAAATGAAATTAATATACAATTACAAATAAATATAGCATGATTAGATTTACTTTAATTAGTTTTAATTTTCTTAATGAAATAACTTTTATTTTTCAGTTTTTTATTAGAGACTAAGGGAGTGTTTGGGTTGCTGGAAAATATTTTAGAAATAAAAATACTTACTAATAAAAACTAATTTTAAAATATTTTTAATCCCTAAACATGAGAAAATTTTACATTAAAAAATACAATTTGATAAATATTATAAATTAATTATTGCAATATCATTTATGTTTACAACGGGAATAATTAAAGAAAAAATAAATAAATCAAATATGTGAACCAATGATTTCAAAATGAAATTAATATAACATGATTAGATAAAGTGACTAATGCCCCTCTTTCGGGTGAAAGGGCTGGCCTAGAGATTTAAAGTTGCTCCATTCCCAAAGGCAATGATCAAATCCTTGCCTTTGGTTAATAAGGATGTATGCGTCCCTTCCACTCAACCACACCCTCCAAGTTCTTAGTGAAATGACTTTAATAAAAGTAAAATCCTCCTTTACAACATCCCAACCCAAATTAATATGAATATTAATTAATTAGTAAAAAATAATAAAGCTTAATTGGTAACAAAATTTTATATGAAAATTAACTAATATCTAATGAATTGTTACCACAGATTAAAGTCAATATGTATATAAAAGTGAAAAATGGTTACCAAATTATGAGAATAATTAAACTATTATAATTATAAAAATAATGGATACAAATTCTGCGTAACAAATGAGAAAATTCGTTTGAAATTCTGTGTAATTTTATAAACAAATAATAATTTATTAATTATTATTTACACCAATTTATACTATTAATAAAAGTAAAATTCTCATCTTCAACATTCCCGCCCAAATGAATATGAATATTAATTAATTGGTAAAAAAAATTTAAGGGAAAATGGCACTTTTTCCCCCTGAGTTATATACTTATAGCACTTTTTCCCCCTGAATTATTTATGTAAGCACATTAGCCCCCTCAATTATTTTAAAAGTGGTGGTTTTCCCCCCTAATATATTTTATTGACATTTCTACCCTTAAAGTAAACATTTTATTTATTTTTCCTTTTCAATAAATTATTGCGTATACATAGGGATGACCACGGTTCGATTCGAATTGAACCAGACACTATAGCAATCGAATTAAAAGTTTCCGGTTATGATTCAGATCTAGAACCCAATATTTTAATTTCAATTCATTAAAATTATGAATCAAAAAAACTGGATCCTGAACCGTGAACTGGCGGTTCTAGATCCGGTTAGCGATTTTAAATCGTCTTTATTTTTAAAATTTTAATTTTTTATTTTAAAATAGTCTAAATTCAACAATAAATGTATTTTATTTTTTTCAGTTTGGACCATGAACCGGCTGTCCCGGTTCACGATTTTAATAAAATCTAAATATCGTGTTTCGATTCTAAATTGTAATTAGAATATTTCGATTTGATTTCTATAGTGTCTGTTTGGTTTGAACCAACTTGTGGTCATAATTTGTTAGAGAAAAAAATAAATGAAATATTTATTTTAAGGATAAATATGTCCATTTAACATTTCAGGGGGAAAAACAGCCACTTGAATAATTCAGGGGGGAAAAGTGCTATATGTATATAACTTAGGGGGAAAAAGTGTCATTTTCCCAAAATTTAATAAAGCTTAATTGGTAACAAAAATTTATATGAAAATTAACTAATATCTAATGAATTTTTATCACACATTGAAGTCAATGTGTACTTAAAAATGGATGATGGTTATCAAATGCTGAGAATAATTAAACCATTATAATTGTGAGAATAATGGAAACAAATTCTGCGTAATAAATGAGAAAATCCATTTGAAATTCTATGTAATTTTATAAGAAAATAATAATTTATTAATTATTATTTACACCAATCTATATTTATACTATTAATAAAAGTAAAATCTTCAATTAAAATGTCTTTCGCCCTTCTGATACGAGATTGCTATTCAAGTTCTAACGAAAACAATTCACGTTGATGCTCGCATATGCCATGACTATCAACAAAAGTCAGGGTCAAACACTAACTCACGTTGAGTTATTACTAAAAAACCCGGTCTTTAATCACGGTTAATTGTATGTGAATTTTTCCCGAGTCATCCATCCTGATGGTCTGATGGTTTTAACTCTAGACGAGAATGGATAAAATTCCGTTACTACTACCAATGCTGTCTACAAAGAGATTTTCAATAATGTATAATTCAAGTTATTGATATTATGGTTTTTTATATACAAAGATGACAAAATTGCTATATATCTACATAGAAAATCTATCTTCCGTATAAATAATTTCGATAACTGAGTTGCTAGACAACGAGCTAATTAGTCCAATTAATACAAATTCTAAACACTGATATATAAAATCTCTAAAGTTGCAGCACCGAATGCGTATATCTACACGTTAACTATTAATTGGGCAATTATTTACTCGAATTCAAGTATTGATAACATCAGAAAACATAATCGGTGCAACTCAATTCTTCAATTATATTATATAATATTCGATGTTATAATTTATACAATTGTATATCGATCTAAATATTTTTAAAATATTATAACAAATTCATTCCGTGCAACGCACGGGCGCAAATACTAGTTAGATTTAAAACCTAAACTCTTAAGAACATATGTGGCTAAATAAACATCCCCCCAACCCACCCACCCACCCACCCATATTAGATTGTGCATTTATATACCCTATCCTCTCATCTCTAGCTATCAATTTTGGTTGAATCTATTTTCGATCTAGGAAACCATAAGTGATTTTTGTTGCCAAACCAAATTCTTCATAAAGACCTCTATTCACAATCACAACCAATCATATATATTACTAATAATTATGATAAATAAAATTATAACTACTATAAACAAATAATACTAAATGATGTATTACCTTATAAAAGACCGAATGCAAGAAATATCTAAAGTTTCCAGCTTTAAGAAACTCATGATCTCCAATTTCTCAAGATCCTACTCATCATAATCAACATTGCCTACAATACCGCGAGACATATGAATCACAGGATTTTATTCAAGATTGCAAGCAATTTTATAAGCCTTTTTGCATTAAATTTAAAGAAGTCAGATCAACTATAGCCAATTCAAGAGCATTGCGCAATTGATTCATATGTCATTTTGGGCTTTCCTTTTAATTGTTTATTTCATATAAGTAACAATTATTATTTTAAAAAATTAAAGTTAAATATTATTTTCAAATACAAAATTTTACGAACACATTCAAGAGGAGATTGTTTCATAATCAATCATTTGTTGGGCTTCTTGAGTAGACACAAGGCCTTGGTGACGTGCTACATAGGGATGACAATGGGGCAGGGCGGGGGCGGGGAATGGGGTCCTCGTCCCCGAATTATCTCCCTCCATTCCTCGTCCCCGCCCCGTTCCCCGTTCCCCGTCGAGGATGGTGAATTATTCCCCAACCCCATCCCTGCGGGGATTTTTCGTAGACGAAGAATCCCCGCCCCATTATTTATTTATGCCTATTAAAAAAATTAATATTATCAAAAATTTATATTATTAAGCCTTGAATCCTTAAACAAAGTCCAAATCCAAAATACATAGATTAATAAAATTAAAATCCTTAAACAAATTCCTACAAATATCCAAAGTTCCAACTTTCAAACATAAATAATAATCATAAGATGTTCAAACACTTTAAATTGTTTCAAACTCCTCCAAAGTCCAAACATAAGTACTTTTTTTTTTTTTTTTTAATACTACCTACTCTATTAGGCTCGATCCCACAACCTCTCTTATAAAGGGGCAGCTTGGTGTCATTGGACTACAAGGTCCTTAGTACATATATAAGTACATTAGTACATAACAAAAATAAAATAAACTTCAAATCTTCAATTCTCAAGTTTTCAACTCTCAAGTAGTCAAGTAGTGGTCCTCAAGTCTTCATTAATAACCTGAAAAAATAATAATAATTTGAATAATAAAATTATAATGACGAAACAGCTGAGCTAAATTTCTGGAATGTATGTCTAAGGAGAAAGACCAATGCTTATAGACAAAAAATGTTCGCTCATTTATTAGAACTAGTGATGAGCTGATATACCAGAAGCAATAAAATGCGTTAATGTCCCAGAACAGAAATTTCATACCTGCAAAATTTCAATTCCATATCTCGGATGATATTGAATAATTCTCTGTATCCAGACCACTCATATTTATGATATTTCGATCATTCAACAATCTCTCCCCCACCAGCAATTTACAACAACACCATCTATGTTTAAAGACTTTAGTAGTTGTAACTCCTGTTTAACACCACCAGGATCCACTAATTGGCAGAAATTATTAATTATACCACTCTGCCAGAAAGAAACTTGTTAATATTAGCATTGACTGAAAAAGAAAGGATGAACAAAAAATAATCTTTCATTCCATTCATTCTTTTAGATCATGAATGCATGGAGAATTTTAAGAATCAAAGCAAATAAATTAATGGAAAAGGATTGCACTTTCACCAAATCGCACTGCTATGATATTTTCCTATGCCACATATCCCCATAGAAGTAACAATAATCGCTGTTGAGTTTTTTATAAGAATGTCAAACTCACTGTGGCATCCCACAATTGTGACATTCAACCAACAGCACTTTCCTCTATGCAAGAGCTTCATCTTTTTATGGAAAGTCATTTTCATTCTAAGTTTGCAGGGAGAATTACGGTTATATATACATTTAATTTGAAGAAATTTTGTATATTTTATAGTCGTATTTTGAGTTGTGGGTTAGGTTTGGATCAGTATATATAAGAAATTAATCCTGCAAAATGATTTATTTCCTTTTTTTAGGTCATGTTTTTAGAGCATATCAAGCTGTGAATACATTGCATTTGGTTTAGTATATGAAATTTTCAAATCCATTTCACATTACCTAATAGGCAAAAACATTAAGAATTTAATTAGGTGTAATGAGATTCGATGAATGTAAAAAAAAAAAAACATGTTAGAATACAATAAATTGTAGCAGAGTTAAAACGGTGTAACAATGCAGTGAAGACAATTGCGTTTTTTTTTTTTTTTTTTTTTTTTTTTTTTTTTTTTTTTTTCTTTTTTTTTGAAAGGAGAAGACAATTTTGTTAAATGAAAATGAAGTGTAAAACAATTAAAGTACAATGAATACCGTTACTAGCACCAAAAAATAGACAAACTCACTGATATGACCTAAATTGACACATATAATGTTTTTATTTAGATTTTAATTTGTATTTATATTTTAATATTTTTATTTTATGTGGTGTGTCATGTGTGTGTATATATGAGCAAGTTCAATTCAAATGAAAACAGTGCTTTCTTGTAAAAAATGTAAAATAATCATATCCATTCATCTGACTTGATTCATAATTAAAAATTAAAGAAAAATTATAAGATTAATTTATAAATATTACAAACTTTTCAAAGTTGATATAGAACATAGATTTTCCAAAACGTTTAACCAAACATATTAGTGAGCATCAGGAATTCAACAATAATCTATTTACTTCAACTAGTATTTTCACCCATGCGATGCACGGAATAGAATAGTTGGAATATACTAAGAATATTTAAATCGATGTATAATTATTTAAGAGTTAATTTCACCAGAGGTCGCTTATAGGATTTCTATTACCATCATAAATTATCCCTAATTTACCATAATTAAATAATTTGACCAATTATAAAGAGAGATTATTAAAAAATGCACGGGACAATTTATTAATTAAAAAATTTAAAAATTCATTAATAAAACATAAGGTTCTCATAGTTTTTTCTTAGAAACTATTTAATAAAGCATTTTTTTTTAGAAATTGGTGGGCCAAACCGCATACGGCTGTTTGCGGTGGATATATCTCGAAAAAATACACAATTTCAAAAAAACATTTGTCCAAAACGGACAACCGAGTGAAAAGTTATGCATTGCCGAACTTTTGACACATCACAGCTTTTACCCATAATTATTGTACGAATGAGAAAGTAGAAATCAATATATTTTAATTCGGAAGAGAGATTTTTTAGGAATTGGGCGGGAAGTTAAAATTTCAAGATTTTGTTTTTATATATAGTACAGATTAGATGTGCAAAGAGAATTGTATTACACTATTTTATAATTTTAGAATAGAATTTTTACCCAGAAATATTGTACGAATGGGAAAGTAGAAATCAATATATTTTATTGGGAAGAGAGATTTTTTAGGAATTGGGCGGGAAGTTAAAATTTCAGAATTTTGTTTTTATATATAGTATAGATAGATTAGATGTGCAAAGAAAATTGTATTACACTATTTTATAATTTTAGAATAGAATTTTTACCCAGAATTATTGTACGAATGAGAAAGTAGAAATCAATATATTTTATTGGGAAGAGAGATTTTATAGGATTTGGGCGGGAAGTTAAAATTTCAGGATTTTGTTTTTTTATATATAGTATAAATTAGATGTGCAAAGAGAATTGTATTACACTATTTTATAATTTTTGAATAGAATTTTTATCCAGAATTATTGTATGAATGGGAAAGTAGAAATCAATATATTTTATTGGGAAAAGAGATTTTTTAGGATTTGGGCAGAAAGTTAAAATTTCAGGATTTTGTTTTTGTATATAGTATAGATTAGATGTGCAAAGAGAATTGTATTACAGAATTTTATAATTTTAGAATTGAATTTTTACCCAGAATTATTGTACGAATGGGAAAGTAGAAATCAATATATTTTATCGGGAAGAGAGATTTTTTAGGATTTGGGCGGCAAGTTAAAATTTTAGGATTTTGTTTTTATATATAGTATAGATTAGATGTGCAATGAGAATAGTATTACACTATTTTATAATTTTAGAATAGAATTTTACCAAGAATTATTGTACGAATGAGAAAGTAGAATTCAATATATTTTATTGGGAAGAGATATTTATTTGGAATTGGGCAGGAAGTTAAAATTTCAGGATTTTGTTTTTATATATAGTATAGATTAGATGTGCAAAAAGAATTGTAGTACACTATTTTATAATTTTAGAATAGAATTTTTACCCAGAATTATTGTATGAATGGGAAAGCAGAATAATATAATTTATTGGGAAGAGAGATTTTTTAGGAATTTGGCGGGAAGTTAAAATTTCAGGATTTTGTTTTTATATATAGTATAGAAGTATAGATTAGATGTGCAAAGAGAATTGTATTACACTAGTTTATAATTTTAGAAATGAATTTTAACCAAAATTATTGTACGAATGGGAAAGTAGAAATCAATATATTTTATTGGGAAGAGAGATTTTTTAGGAATTGGGCGGGAAGTTAAAATTTCAAGATTTTGTTTTTTTATATATAGTATAAATTAGATGTGCAAAGAGAATTGTATTACACTATTTTATAATTTTTGAATAGAATTTTTATCCAGAATTATTGTATGAATGGGAAAGTAGAAATCAATATATTTTATTGGGAAAAGAGATTTTTTAGGATTTGGGCAGAAAGTTAAAATTTCAGGATTTTGTTTTTGTATATAGTATAGATTAGATGTGCAAAGAGAATTGTATTACAGAATTTTATAATTTTAGAATTGAATTTTTACCCAGAATTATTGTACGAATGGGAAAGTAGAAATCAATATATTTTATCGGGAAGAGAGATTTTTTAGGATTTGGGCGGCAAGTTAAAATTTTAGGATTTTGTTTTTATATATAGTATAGATTAGATGTGCAATGAGAATAGTATTACACTATTTTATAATTTTAGAATAGAATTTTACCAAGAATTATTGTACGAATGAGAAAGTAGAATTCAATATATTTTATTGGGAAGAGATATTTTTTTGGAATTGGGCAGGAAGTTAAAATTTCAGGATTTTGTTTTTATATATAGTATAGATTAGATGTGCAAAGAGAATTGTATTACACTATCTTATAATTTTAGATTAGAATTTTTACCCAAAATTATTGTACAAATGGGAAAGTAGAAATCAATATATTTTATTGGGAAGAGAGATTTTTTAGGAATTGGGCGGGAAGTTAAAATTTCAGGATTTTGTTTTTATATATAGTATAGATTAGATGTGCAAAGAGAATCGTATTACACTATTTTATAATTTTAGAATAGAAATTTTATTCAGAATTATTGTACGAATGGGAAAGTAGAAATTAATATATTTTATTGGGAAGAGAGATTTTTTAGGATTTGGGCGTGAAGTTAAAATTTCAGGATTTTGTTTTTATATATAGTATAGATTAGATGTGCAAAGAGAATTGTATTACACTATTTTATAATTTTAGAATAGAATTTTTACCCAGAATTATTGTACGAATGGGAAAGTAGAAATCAATATATTTTATTGGGAAGAGAGATTTTTTAGGATTTGGGCAGGAAGTTAAAATTTCAGGATTTTGTTTTTATATATAGTATAGATTAGATGTGCAAAGAGTATTGTATTACACTATTTTATAATTTTAGAAATGAATTTTAACCAAAATTATTGTACGAATGGGAAAGTAGAAATCAATATATTTTATTGGGAAGAGAGATTTTTTAGGAATTGGGCGGAAAGTTAAAATTTCAAGATTTTGTTTTTTTATATATAGTATAAATTAGATGTGCAAAGAGAATTGTATTACACTATTTTATAATTTTTGAATAGAATTTTTATCCAGAATTATTGTATGAATGGGAAAGTAGAAATCAATATATTTTATTGGGAAAAGAGATTTTTTAGGAT